AAGAGAGAGCAGCTGAGTATGTCTGTAACCACCCTGTATCACATATTAATGTCCCTAACTGCTGTTTGACTATCTCCATGTTAATGCCTGCCACAGAAAGTCATATTTTCCTGTAGAAACAACTTGAACATGATGTGATTAACCTTAAGGTCCCCCTCCCCTCATCTCAAAGCCCACCTCATGCATGGCCTGTGCTTCCTACGTGCTCACCCATCTAATTTCCATATCGCCCACTCACTCTCTTCAGCAGGCATTAGCATAACAGAGCTGTAGCGTGACTTTGATTGAAGCCAGCTCTGGCTGAATTCAGTATCAAAGCATAATTTAGCAGAAATCAAATCTAATTTACTGTGCATTGTATTTAAATTCTCAAAACACTGTTTCAAGTGAACTGTCCCAGGCCTCTAATCTTAATTGACCTTTTTATATTCAGGTCTTATTTCTCTGGAAAGCACACAACATACTTTTCTTATGGAGCTATTGTTTCTTAACTTGGAAGTGTTGATTAAACACTGAATTGTGCCTCTGTGTTTGCTTCATCTCATTTCTTCTCATTGCTGAAGCAATAAGGTATAATCACTTGCCAGATTAAGCAAGTATGTTATTACGTCGTAGTTACAAGAAATTTGTCTAATGTTTTCAGGTTTTAGAGCAGGCATAAATGCATATTTTATAGTCCTGTGTCTTACAAACTTATGGCAAAATTGCCGATTCTGTAACTAGCATATTCTTCTGCAGTTTATAACTCAATCACTTTAATTCACATTGGACTTAAATGCATGTTTTGAATTATCATCTTGAGGACCTAATTGTGTTTTTTTATATTTAATGACAGCTATTGTAGAAAATCAATTTTATGTATTGCACACTTCATGCTATTGTGCCGTGTTGATGGAATGCCACCTCCGTCTCCTCCCTCCCATTGGTGCCATCAGCCAAGTGCTGCCTTTTTGAAACCATTTCCCCTGCAACCTGGCAGAAACCCTGAAATTGTGGAACATTCACAGAAGAATTATTGATGCAGGGCTTCATTTTAAAACCTCAAAAATAAATTTCTTTAGCTGATATCCCTTCATAGAAGATTGCAATATAGATCTTGGGGAGAGAAATTGAGTCTACAAAAGTAAAAGTGACTGTTGCCATTTGTAATGTTAGCATGACCTCAGATGATAAACGGACATACAGAGTCTCAAATGCTCCTTAAGTTGTTTAGCTTTCTAAAATGCTTCATTCAACATTTTTCATTTTTTTAAATTTTCAAAATGATATGATTCTAGTTCCATTGAGTTCCAATGTGGTTTAAATTCTAGTGACAAGGTATTGGTTACATTAGGAATACAACATATTTGCAGTGATTTAGAACAAAATGCAACACAAATAAACATCACATGAAAATATGTTTTTAGAATTCATAACACAAAAGCTTTTTGTTAGTGGTCTCTAAAAATTAGAAATGGATAAAAGTTTAAGAATTATGATTTCCTGGCTGTCTTAGATTCTATCATCAGTGGTACACATTGGTTATAGTTTTCCAGGTCTTTTGTTATTTAAGATTTCTGAGGAAATGTTTTCTTTAGGTGCTGCTGTGAGTGACATTCTCAGATGGATTTTCTGTTCTAACTTGCTAAGCCTTTCTGGTTCTTTGCTTCTGCTTTTCCATTCTTCATCTCCAATCACCATCTTTATTGCTTCCAGAGTATTATTTTCTGAAGCACAAAACTAATGATAGCTATCTTCCAGAAATATCTTTGAATAGATCTGAAGAGCTTTCAGGACAAACATTTTTGAGCATGAATTATCTGATCCTATCTACATGAGCTCTGTAAACAAAATTCCTTTTTTGCCTAAAATACTCTGCCCTCTACCAAATCCAGGCTCATGAATCTCTGCCGTAGAAGCTGCTTCTCCCTTGCCAGGTGACTATTGTCTTTCTCATCTAATGACTCTGACTTGTGCTTTAAAATACAACTCATATATGGGCTACTTCTGGCATTTTTATTCTTTTCCTCACCTCATGGTTTAATTGGCTTCTATGCAATATCGTTTCCGTTTTTCTATTATTATATAAACTGCATGCAATTGTATGTATTTGTTTGTATATATACTTAGAATTCTGTGACATGGAACAAAAGCCATTGTTCATTTAGTTTCCCAACCCTTAAACTAAGCAGGATGTCTCATATCGAGCAGTCTGTCAATACATTTTGAATTAATAAACAATTCATCATATCTTCTCAGAAATGTGGGCAATAGATGTGATTAATTGCCAGTCTTTGTTTTGGAGAGCGTATTATGGCAACTTTTTAAAAAGTGTAGGTTGTGAATTTCAAAAATATCTTGCAGAATCACTGTCTTAAAAATATTTCCAAATATTTGAAAATCAATTCAAGAGAGTACTGGCTATGTCAAAGTAATGACAATAAACTTTCTGATAGGTGGATGATAAAGAATATACTTAAAACTACAGATTCTCATTATTTCATGTAGGTTTCATTTGATGATTTTAATCATATATTCTCAGTTATTTCATTTTTAAAATTATCTAAAGGAGGGCTATATGTTTTACCTTAAGGTTTTACTAATTGTGTAGGCTATTTTAAATTTTTTCTTACTCAAAGCAGTGCAAATGACTTCATAATCTGAATATGTGATTTTATTAAATAATGATAAGTAACAGATTTTGACCGCATTGAATGTTTCATTTTTAATTTTTAATGTTGAAGTAAAAACTAAGATACTCAAGACTCCTCTTAAAGTTAGTATCTATATTTGCATTGTTACCTTTTATTCATGACAAGAGTAAAGAATTTTGCACTGCTTGTTAAGTAAGCAGCAATATATTATCACAAGTATATACATGACAGAGACTAATCTTACTATGGAGAACAACCTTAAGTCTTTCTTTGGGTACCTGCTGGTTTACATTTCTACAGAAATTAAGCAATATTGTGTTTTCATCTTCTCCTAAAGTAATTTCATGACACTGAAATAAAATATCATTCCTATTAAATACAGGAAACAAAAATCAATGTATCTGCACATTCAGTGGAATTGTGTAGAAATAGCAAGAAGACTATAAGAAGAATGTAACCTCTGAAAAGGCAGGGCGACATAAACCCCACTATGGTCAAATAGATCCGTAAATCTGGATTCTCCATACTGTTATCTATAATTATAGAAAAAGATTTCACTTAGTAGATTTATCTCTTCTGTCCCTAGTGCATGTGTTGGCTGTGTTGAATTAGGAATTAGTGTAATAGAACCTCAAAAAATAAGTCCATAAAAATGTCACTGAATACTTTTGAAAAAAAATCTACTGCAGCGTTCTCAGTGATAGCATTTGTATTAGGATAAATAATTAGATGTATGTTAGGGGCTACTCTGCATTTTTCTGTTCCAGGATCCACATGTATCAGCTTTAGCATTACAGGTGGAGGGCTTTGTCGGACATCACATATTCTTTGGAGTTCTCTACAAGTCACGTTTTAAAACTGTTGCCAAATAACCCTATTCTACAAATTAAAGTTGATTTTTGAATTTGCATGGCTTTAGTTTTCTATCATAAATGACTGATTAAAGTGGATACAGATGATTAGAAAAGTCATGGGATAATTTTTTTTTTCCTCCAACAAAAGTGAGGTTTGAGACAAAGATGTTCTCGTAAAAGCTTCCAGTTGCAGTGTTGTACTGTGTTATCCCTTTCTTTTCTCTAAGTGTTATTTGTGTTATGATCTTATTAGCTTCACCTACACCATTTTACTAGTCCCCTAAGAAAATTGCACAGTGGAATGCCTCTCACTCTATCTATTCTATACTGTATATTCATTACAGGGTTAAACCTTCCAAGAATTATTCTTTGCACCTATCTCTCTGCAGTTTAGAAAGAGTCAGAATAAAATCCTCAGTATGGCTTCTTAAATCTTCTTTTGTTGCCATACTGGTTATACAATTTGGACTTTCCATTCCTGCCGGATTGTATATAGGTATGCTAGATGTGTTATTGCTGCTTCTTTAGCCAGTAACCAACTTACTTGGAATGCATTCATTATTCCACTATGCAAATGCTGCGTAAGCTACTGTAATGTCCATTCCTACAGAAAGCCTTCCACAGTCATTATAAAATGAAGAAATTCCTCTGTCCTAAAGCTCTATCACATTGATTATATGTGCTCTAGCTTATGCGCTACTCAGCCATAGTCTGAGAGTCGCTCTACCATTACACAACAATCTTAGAAAAATGTTGGTTTAGTTTTTTTTATTATTATTGTTGTCATTATAATCATATTTTTTGCCTTTTCATTGGTTAAGTGCTCCTCAGTGACCTATCAGAGCATTTCATTTCTGTTTCTTAGTGGCCAGTCAAGGAAACTAATAGCCGTCTATTGGTCATCTATCTAAATAAAATTAATTAAATTGGACAATCTCTTTTAATATATGTATTTGTGCTGTTAGTTAACTTTGTTAGTTAACTTTTAACTATTAAATACTTTAATGTCTTTAACTCTTCAAATCTTCATTGGTAAAATATAAACATTTTAACAATAGAGATAATATTTTATGTCTTTTAGTATCCCAGTACCTCATATGGTATCTAACAAATATTATAAGAAAATTAATGTTCACCTAATAAATTAATTTTAATGTAAAGATGTAGCAATTCTCTCTTAGCTTTAACCAAAAATCAGAAAGAATTTGGGTTCTATGTTTTTCCTTAAAAGTATTAGTATCTCAAGAAATCTACATATTTTCCTTCACAAGTGTATAAAACACAGGATTATAATGTAAAATATTTAAATATATTTGCAAATATGTCTACTTTTTGCCTTAAGAGTATTCTTTTCCCTTTCCCTTTGTCTTTTGAGACATTAGTAAAAGGGGGAAAAAAAATGTACCCTTTGTCCTGGCACTAAGCAATCCAGCTAGAGACAGATTTTGACTTTGTTACCATTTTCTTTGTCAAGAGTTGATATTTACACACTTTCTTTCTTTCTAAATTGTAGCTCCGCCACAGTTTGTGGTTAGGCCCAGAGATCAGATTGTTGCTCAAGGTCGAACAGTGACATTTCCTTGTGAAACAAAAGGAAACCCACAACCAGCTGTTTTCTGGCAGAAGGAAGGTAGTCAGGTGAGTGTAAGATGGACTGTTTATCTGCTCTCTTTGAGCTCCCTCTGACTTTGATGACCCCAAAGCTTACCTTGCCTGTATTGCTATGAATTTTGAACTTAATGTTTTACGAAAAAGGAGGCAAATGATTCTTGTACACATAAATGGCAGCTTTGCTTTAGTATAGACCTTTTTATTTGCTTGGCTGATTTTTTAAAATTCTGTTTTTTCCATAAAAAGAAAATAAAGCAATGGGAAAAAGTAACGCAAAAATTCCAATCAAAACCTCTGTAGCTATCAAAAATTCTAATGATAAAAATCATTTACTTCTTGTACTTAGTTACATGGTATGGTTAAGTGAGTTAGTACATATAGACTGCTTAGAACATTACCTGACACATGAAAACACTCAGACATATTCCTCTATTTATTAATTATTCTAAGATCTAGATTCAATCTATTCTCTTAGATAGGCAGTGTAAATGGCTTTTAAAACCCATTAATTTAAGCATGGTTCCATTTAAGAGTAAAGCAGATCTTCTACATCCCTTCTGAATTCCTGCACAGTAGAGTAAGATGAAATAACACTGTCTTGCCGTGCTGGTTGTAAGTTAGAATAACTTCTCACAGTCTCTCCAAAAGTCAATTGAATATATTATTTCTTTCATTTAGATTTTTTTGTCCAGACATGTACAATCACTTGGGCTTTAGGTCCTGAGGCAGTAAGTGGAATTTCCACTTCAATCTACATCAGAACTTTAAACTCTTGACTAACAATTTGCATATTTCTGGGACCTACATATATTTTGGTTGTATAATCTAGAACTATCTCAGTGAAGCACTAAATTCTCAGGATTAGAACTCCTGGCATTTTCTCTCAGTGCCTGCTATTGCTAATTCAATTTTTGGAAAAAATTCTTAGAAACTCATGGAAACTAATTTATTGGATTTTGTGTGTGTTTTTTATGATTTTGGGGATTGAACCTAGGGCATGTGCATGCTAAGCAAGTAACTTACCATTTAACTCAGTGCCAGCACTAAAATTTTTGTGATATAAGCACACAATGGAGTATTGTGTACTGCAGCGATAAAAAAGAAAGAAATAATGTATTTTTTGCAGGAAAATTGATGAAACTAATGATCACAATGTTATCTGATGCAAGTAGATACAGAAGATAAATATAGCTTCTCTTATATATGAAGCCTAAAATATAAATAAGTAATGGAGTAAAATAAAAAAAAATGGTCGAAAATAAGACGTTTTGGAAATGAGGAAGCAGATTAGGGAAGATCTGAGTAATGGAGAAGAGATAAAGGAACTGAAAATGACCAAGAAATGCTATGTACATGTGCTAAAATTACTATAACTATTAGATATTGCAATATCTAATACATGTATGCTTGCAATATCTAATAGTTATAGTAATTTTAGCATACAAAATGTCTCAAGAAATTTGAATACTGACAGATACTGACAATATTTTAACAGACTTTTTTTTAATTAGATATCATGTCTGTCTTCCTGGCTAGAGATTCTTTAAAAAATTCTGTTTAGCCATCTTATTTTAGTTATAATGAGTTCTTGTATATTTTTGTATCATGTCCAAGCTAGCAGTTTTCCCACCTCAGCCAATTCGTGTTTCCTTTAGTTTTTGGCTCTCATAGTTTCCTTTCTGATTTGTGGCATATAAGGACAGTGAGGAAAACATAAGTGCAAGTGAAGCCTCTACCTTATCCTATATCAGAATTATTTCAGATCTTAACTGACAAATCAGTTTTCACCATTCAGTAACTGTATTATAACATAATTTTATGCATAGAATTCCTGACATTTCACTTAAAACTTTTTGATGAAAGTTATCATGATTACTAAAGTGAGTCACAGCATCCACATATAGGCATGTACATGCACTAAACCGAAAAATTCAAACATGTACATGTACTAAACATGAAAATTCAAACATGTACATACACTAAACGGAAAATTTCAAGCATGTACTTACACTAAACAGAAAAATTAAAAACTGTTTTCCTTCTTTTGAAGGAACTTTCCTTCTTTGCAGAACTATTGCAGGGCTATTTAACTTTTCTGAAGCTGGTATCATCAGTCTATAATGTAGAGACTTGCATTTTCCTTCATATGTGCTATGAAGATTATGTGAATATCTTAGATTACATGCATATCTTAAGATTAGATGAATATCTCATATAAAAGTGCTTTACACATCATGAAGATCTCACCAAACACTTTATATGCTGATAGTAAATATTCTGATGTAAAGAAATTTGATTTTTGCAAATTTACACTTTAACTTCTTATATTGAGTGAAATACTAGCACAATAAAATGTTATACATATAATTGCATCATTCAGTATATGTATATATATATATATATATATATATGTATGTATATATAAAACTTATTTATATAAGTTTATTTCATGTGGGAATCACGTCTCCTAAAATACCTCCAAGTGGGATACAAGATAGTATGTGTATTGGTTCTGTAGTTTAATAAACATGTGTCACACCTTGGTTTTAGTAGTTTTGAAAAAAATAACTTTCAAAAGCACTTTTGCACTCTTTTTTTCTATTATTTGACAAAGTGGCATGTTATTCCAGAGCTATTCTTGGCAAAGCCTACACAAAATTTTAGTTGGGCACTGTAATTTTTTTTTCTAAACTTAATTCTAGTTTTCTTTACCAATTTGGAGGGAAGAAGGGTAGGAGAGGGAGGAAGGGAGAGAGAAATGGACTGAGACAGAGACAGAGAGCAAAAGAGAGACACAGAGAGACCAAGAAAGGAACATAGAAGTATGAGGAAATTATACATTTTTAAACCATGAATTGCGATATTAAGAAAAATAAATTGATCTTACAGTCTCCAGCAGCCAATTTTTACAGTGATCTATGATCATCCATCAGTAGAATGAGTTAAGAGCGTGGACTTAATGGTCCGTATTCTTCAATATGTGCTGATAATGCCAATTAGTACTAATAGGTTATGCTAGTACTTCAAGTCAAGAAGAGCTCTGTAAAGTTCCTGGTTTTTGCTTGTAATCCATTTTCTTTTGCCTATGTCATATAAGCAGAGAATAAAGATGATGTGTTAACCTCAATCAGATGCCATTTTCCATGTCAAAGAATCATTTATAAGGTAGATTCATATTACATTGTAGAGAAAGAGATTCCAGAGAGAATTGAATTATCTGATGGATTAGAGTATGAAAATTAGTATTCTAATGGCTAATTGTAGCAAAGTGTGCATTTTGAGATATTTTATCATTTTCAAGTGTTTTAAAAGTTAGACCTTTTTCTTTCAGATGGTTTATTTCTGTAATACATCTGGATTGCACAAGAAAATGAACTCGTTCTTGAAATTATGTTTCATACACATGAACGTGTCTATCCTTATATCCTAATAGATATTTTAGCACAGGACAGTATATTATATTCCTGATATGGTTACAAACATCTCTCATTTTAGAAATAGTTTAATAAAATGGTAATGTTTATGTAAAGTGGGCTTATAGTGTCACACTCGAATCTAATAAAGTGGACATCCGTCATGTTGCAATAAAGAGAAGAGGTTCTAATTAAAGTAGGACATCATTTGCAGGATTAAAGTCATTTAACATAATTGAAAAGTGTTAATACCCTATTTTATCCTCTTTCATTGGTATTACTTCAAGGGTAAAAACATTTTAAGGTGAAAATGTGTCTTGTGCCTTTAATTGAATGTTATTACCTCCTGATTGCTACTTATTGAAACTGTTTAATTACAAACCTGGAAAATTAATTACTATATTGAGAAACAGATCCCAGAGGGTTATAATGTTCTTTTTTTGTAGGTAAATACAACATAAAAATTGATGTATCCTTATTTATAATCCAACTTGGAAACATACCTCAATATGATTTATTATACCCAAATGTTTTTTTTTTTAATTGGACAATAGTAAAACAGCATAGGTCACCCAAATTAATGTTACTGTTCTAATACAGCAGCTATAAAAATTGGTGGTAGGCTATGTGAGATACATGATAAGCTTTAAGGATATATATATATATATATATAGTATTTTTAAATGTATACTTTAAAATTCTTTGAAGTAACATGCACACATTTAGAGGTATTCTATATCTTTTTACATTTTTCAGTGATTGGTTTATCTTGCCTACATTATAATGTTCACTCGTAACTCTTTGTAAGCTGTTATGACTTGCAGAAATTTTATGGTATATGATTCAGGTCTTTTATTTATCAATCTCACAAGTACACACACTTTTGAATACCTTTAAGGCAAATTCAATTGTTCTAAAATATTCAAAAATGATAATCAGTTATTGTACTTTATATTCTTTGTTAACATACAGTTGATAAAGTATATGTGTGGTTAATGGTATAGTCTACAACTTTACAATGTCTGAGGATTTTATCACTGAAATATTTTTCTGCCCCCTATTCACATGAGGAAACTCTGTTTCAAAGATATTAAATAAATAACAGAGTCAGGGATAGAATAAATGATTGGAATATACAAATGTTAATTACACTTATTTGATCAGTATATACTCTCTACATGTGTTGAAGAATTAATTGTACCCCATAAAAGTAGAAATATTCCATTAGTTAAAAAATTAGAATTTTTTTTAAATTTAGGTTTCCAAAAATACACATGGTGGAATTGTTTTTTCAACTATTCACCTTGCTTACTTGAGTATATTATTTTTCAATATTTGAAAAAACTTCCTGAGTCAAACCCAATGTATCCTATGTTATCATTTCAGTATATCTTTTCACATATATATATATATATATATATATATATATATATATATATTTCTTTTTAACCATAATCCCATAATTTTAATAGTAACTAATGTAATTTTACTTCCTAGTGGCAATAGAATACTGATGAGATTGTACTTGCCTCCACAGAACCTACTTTTCCCAAATCAACCCCAGCAGCCCAATAGCCGATGTTCTGTGTCACCAACTGGGGACCTCACGATCACCAACATTCAGCGGTCAGATGCTGGCTACTACATCTGCCAGGCCCTAACTGTGGCAGGAAGCATTTTAGCAAAAGCTCAACTGGAGGTTACTGATGGTGCGATATTGCTATTCATTTATCTTGTGAAAATATTTTTACTTCAACATGACATTCATCATGTGAAACTTCCTGATTTTTAATAATTTAGGTCAATGCCTGTCTTCTAAATTTGAATCTAGGTGAAGCAACATTCTCAAATGGTATCTAATTCTCTTTGAGTTAATGTTGTTTATAATCCTCAAAAAGAACATCAAATATAATCTTTTTAAATCTAAAATATATAATGAAGCATTATTTGAAGGAAAATCTATCTCACTGTTTAGAAATTTAATCTGTATATTTTAATTTAATCTTATAATGGCATGACTGTGTCTAATGAATATTAATAATTTTATTTTACTAAAAGAGGAGGAAATATCATCTTTAATATTAACAGTGTAACGGAGATGAGTTTTTAGTTAGTAATCACATTTTGACATTCTTATGACTTTAATTATACATTCACTAAGTTAAATTAATGAAACAACTTCTGAAGTACTGATGAATGCTACAATTATTATTTTTCTTGTACATATGCATTTTGAATCTTAATCGAGCTACTTAAATTCAGAGGATCTAGTTCATTCTCAATAGTTTGTCACAATTGAGAACTGTGTCATCTTAGGCATCTTGTAAATCTCTGAGATTGAATTTAAACACTATTCTTTAACTACTTAAAAAGTCTTTTTTTATCCTATATGTGTGAGATATTTTGGTTTTTTTTTTTATCCATAATACTATATTCTGAAATGTAAGGATTTTGGTATGTGTCCTGATTCTCTCTTTTCTCTGCTGGTAAAATTTCATATGCTTTCGTAGAATTCAAATTTACATCTAGATTAAAAGATCATTCAAAATTAATAGAAAGGCAGTATCCCTTAATATCTGTACATGGTGTGATGTGATTCAGCATCATGGCAGGGATGGGAATAAATAGCAGAGACAAACATTGGCTTCAGACACTGAGGCATTAATGATTGCCCTTGCTGATGCTGCAGAGATTAACTGCTACACAATGAGAGGAGAAGTCAGGTTCAGTGGTAACAGTGATGCAAAATTCTTCCTGAGATGCATAAAATCTTTCATGTCTCGGACCTCAGTATATCCTTGAAGTAGCAAAAGATAATTAGTCTTTTTAAAGTTATCATATCTTCTATCTTCAATATTGTCTAGATGTAGAAAAGATACTAGGGCTAATGCCTATTAGTCTATATTACTGGTTGTTATGTCTGATTTCAAACATAATACTAAGATATCAACTATAGCATAGTATCAACAAAAAATTCTAAGTATTTCTAATTGAATACTATGGAAATAGAAAACTGTGTTTGTAGATAACAAAATGAGTAAATCAGAAGAAGTTGTTTATGTGACTGATAGGATTTTTGAAACTTGTGTTAGCTGGTATCTGACAACTAATTTTGCTTTGGAGGTCAAAATTAAAAGAGTGGTGGCCAAGTGTAAAGTTTTTGATAACTGCAGGCTTCCGAACAGTTTTTGCAGCCGGACTAAATAATAACTCCTTCATTGATTTTTAATTAAGTAAGCAATCAAAATGTCAAAATCTTTTTCCAGAAATGTTTAATGTCGGTTTAGAGCCTTTGATTTCCATAACTTAAAATCTCACCTTAACACATATATAAGTATTATAAATAATTTGTCTGTAAATATTAAGTTCCTACACTGATTGATGATTTCAGCTTTTATTCATAATTCAGATTTTTTCAGATTGTTAGCTATTTAGTAATATTTAAGCCACCATTTAAATTCTGAATGTCCCTTTTGAGTGGTCCATGGAAATTTGGAGCCAACTACATTTACATTGTAGAATGAAAATACATTTCATGTTCAGAGAAACAAATTTCCTGAGTAAAAAAATTCCATCTAGAAAAATGTTCCTTTTTGCACTCAGTCACATATCATGAGAATATTTTAAATATAAGAAATCTTATAAAAGGCTATTGCTAATGGTGAAAGCATTACCTTGTTTAGTAATTTGCTAATTATGAATTGAGCTATTGAATTTAAATATAATTACAAAATATATTGCTAAAGGATCTTATTTATATGTAAAAGATCTTATTTATATATTTTTTTCATTTATCCTTTATTTGCTGCTTTTACTCTTAGAAAAATTAGAAAATTTTGATGAAAATTCTATGTGGAAAGATATCTATATAAAATCTAAAGGACTAGAGAGATGAAATATAAATATATCTTATTCTGACAATAAATGTCATGCCATGATCTGATATGAATCATTTATTGAGGATTTATAATGCACTGTTAGAGAGCAAACCATGGAGTTGTTCACAGATCACTAGAACCCTAAATGTTCATTTAAATTTTGCCCTTAATGTCAGAGAAGCCTGTGATCAGCTTTCACTGAAGACATCTTTGAAACTGAAAATTCCTAGCTAGGTTATTTTTATCTACCTTACTGATCAAAGTCATGAAAAGCTGATAAACTACTAATTTAAGTAGGAAAGTCAAAGAGAAAAAGAGAACTAATTCTTTTTTTTTTTTTAATAAAAGTGTTACAGTTGGCTCATTTTGCATTAGACATTAAGCACGTTATGTTGTTTATGTAGGTGCTTCTATCTGCTGCTCCTTGATTTCTAAAGTAGAGATAGTCACTAGAGACGGAACGTCTACCCCTAAGCAAGCATGCTTATATCACTGATGCACTTTGTGTATTAATATCTTGCAGCAAACTAAGATAAACAAAAAGCAAGATTCAGCAACTTTCTTCTCTGCCCCAGAATTTATTTCTTCTTTTCAAAAGGAGATCACTTTTGGCTTTAAATATATGGCAGTAAAAATAGATTATCAGATATTCATGGAATTCTATATTTGGATTTAACTTGAAATGAAGAAATAATGGCACTTAAAATTCATAAATAAGTTACTCTCTAATAATGAAAATATATTTTCTCCTTGCATTTAAACATTATTTTAAAGATATTTTTGAAAGAGTCTTCTGATTTTGACTAATAAATGAATTCCATAAAACTTTCAATATGATTTTTGCCCAATTATTGCTAGATGTGTCAGAATTACAACACTGTATTCTCACTTCTTCTAAGTTTGTTTACTTAAATGAAAAATATGAGCAAGAAAACCAGTGAAATAAGTTGTTCAGGTTTTAGTTTATGAACAACAAATAATTATCTTGTGGTTTTCTTCATAGGTTTTTATGGTTTATGTTTAGATTTAAGTTGATTGGAGCTAATGATTTTATAATATTCAAGGGACATATATCAAACCTTTAATTTGAATTACAAATGGTCTTATGGAATGTTTTGATGGGCCTGATAAAGTCAATGATTTCTACCCTGATTCTGTGAGCTCTAATAATAAAGTGGTGTAAGCACAGTAGGGAAGAGTCGTGTGAGTGGTATTTATGAAAGCTAGAGGACAAAAGGAGTTAGAGCATCAAGCACAATGACGTCACTTTTCTGATTATGTACATTGTGATGCAAGGCAACCTTTATAGGAGAAGACTATTTCTCATCGTAATTGCTAATCAGTAGTTGGAATTATATATACGGGGGTTATCAAAATCTACGCTCTCGATGCTGTTACTGAACTTTCTCTCAAGAAAGTCTCCATTGGATCTGGCTGTATTAGTTTAATTCTAATGAATTTTTGGTAAAACTTTACCTTCTTTTAATTGCAAATTTTCACATAGCATTTTAAAAAATCCTAAACATTCAGATGTGTTTGCTAAGCAATTTTTAAATATTTCTAGAGTCATGGAAGATACTTACACATGAATTATTTTATGAGGAAAACATAAGACAGTAAAAGCTTATAAGCCTATGAGATTGTGGGGAATTTGCCCAAATAAATGCAGGGATTTAAATGTGTCTGTACTTACATGTGTGAGTGTGTGTGTGTGTGTGTGTATAATGTAAACATATTTTATATGAAATTTCTGTTGTCATATCAGAGTTTTACTAGACTTCTATGTTTTCCATAGTTGTATACATAAACTAAATAAAATCATCCAAATAAACAATAATTGAGGAGCTAATATTATGAGCATGGAAATATAATTTTATATTCAATATTTTAGCATCATTATTTTAGTTAATATAAATATAGCACACTCTGGAATGATAAAGAGTGAATTACAAGTAATGAATATATTTAAAAAGAAAGCAAAAGTGAAGATTGATTCTACTTGTAAGATCCTCCAAGGGCTTTCTTAAGTATGTATATGATAAAATGAATGTTTTTTATGAATGACTGCCACAGCTATTCGTTTTAACTTTAACTTTAATTCAGCTAACCCTTTTAATACAAATAAACTGTTCCAGAATGTCAGGATTTATCTATCATTTCAATTATGGCTCATATAGAATAAGTTATGAAAAATGGTATAGTCTTAGTACAGTATATATTGATGAATGTGCAATAGTGTAAACTGGAGTGCTATGAAAATTATTTAATAAAAAGAATAATACGCATGAGGAATATGTATGGCTTTGGGATTTTAACCTTTCTTTCAATGTCAATATCCAAGACTACTGCATGTTATAAAAGTAAAAATATCCTGATTATATTTTTATTCTTTAGTTCTGACAGATAGACCTCCACCAATAATCTTACAAGGTCCAGTAAATCAAACATTAGCGGTAGAAGGTACAGCATTACTGAAATGTAAAGCCACTGGTGACCCTCTTCCTGTAATTAGCTGGTTAAAGGAGGGATTTACTTTTCTGGGTAGAGATCCAAGAGCAACTATCCAAGAGCAAGGAACCCTGCAGATTAAGAATTTACGGGTAAGTAATATTTGATTATGCTTTAGTCTTCATCTTAGCATAAGTACCGCTCCAGGGAAAAAACTTTGGTGAACTTAGAATCTTACACTTCAGTGTAATTGATGCATATTTGATAATCGGTCATGTTTCTTACTTTAACAATGATTAACTGAAATTAGATCATTGTCCTTATGTTACTCATAAATTAATAACAGATATAGAATCTTTTTATTCTAATATCCAGTCTCAAATGTAGGAAATCACTAAAACTAGAAATGTTATACCAGTTACGGTTAGTAATAGTAAATAAGATTTTTAGTCTTTGAAAGTGACAATTCTTTAGGACTTTACTCTCACTGGTAAAAGAAGGGCTGTGGAGAAATGTAGATAAATTGATTCACCAATTTTATAATAGTGTGAAAACAATAAAGAGATGACACTGACTCAGAGCTGGGTAGTCAGGTAGGCCGAAGGAGCCCTCAGATTTTAGGTTAAATTGCTTTAAGATTTGCATTTAAACCCCAAAGGAGAAAAAGTCATTGGTGATCTTTCAGTTGAAGTTTATGTGAAAGAGAATAATTATTCTTGGAAACTTAAACTGGATCTGTTTCAAGGACAATTCAAAACAAAGTGTGTGCTTCTGAATATTGTATTAATTATCTGTTATCTTGTAACTATTAGTGAAAACCAGGAGGTTTAAAATAATCCACAGTTACTATCTGGCAGCTTGTATGAGTTAAAAGCATGACCATCTTTTAGATGGGTCTTCTACTTCAGTGATTCACAGAGATACTTGATCGAGGTTATAATCTTATATGATGATTGAGAGAGGATCAGCTTACTTCTAGGCCACAGTATGGAGCACAGCTGATATGCAGTATAGAGTTCCTGGCCACAGGATAAACAACATCAGCGTCTTGCTGGCTGTTGGTCAGAGCCTGCCTTTATAGAATCTATGTGCATTTTTCTGGTATGATTGTATATTTCTTCAAAGTCAGTAAGGAAAAAAGTCTCTTTTTAAAAAAGGACATTACAATTGTATGTAACCAAATCACAAGCAACATATGCTGAAATCTTGAAATAGTCTGCTGGCCAGGAGCAAATCTGAAAGTCCCACATGTACTTATTTGGGTGAAAAATTACACAATGTTGGAAAACCAGGTAGATGTTAACACCAAGAATCTATCTTCTTCCAGTATATTTTGCTCATTCATCCATCCTCACCTACCCCATGTACCATGCACTGCTCTCAGGTGAACAGTATATTATGATAACCACAATACTGAAGATGAGAGCCAGAACTAAGGTAGCTCATATAATGTGCATGAAGACAAATTGCCCAAAAATGCTTTAGTAGAATCATGATTAAAATAATCATGCGGCCAGGTAAAAAAAAAAAAAGAAACTAAAATGAGAGAAAAAAAAACAACATAATGTTGCTTAGTGTGCACATTCAGAATACAGAAAGGAAGGTAAAATTGTTTTATACTACACATACATAGGAAGAGGATCACACTCTGAGCACAGAAGTACATTTACCATTACAATTTATTTATTTGTTTATCTCTATATCATGCAGATGCAAATGGAAGAATGATTCAAAAACATATAAATAAAATACAATGTATTAATATATAATTTTAATTTTTAATAGTGATTTTGAAGTTTAGGCATTTTTTTTTCTCTAAGCAAACTACTGCCAAGTTTGGTTAAAGCAAGTAAGACCCTTTAAAGCCTTTTTAGTGATTATAAATTAGTTGTGAACAATTGGAAGTTATTAAAAAATTAATGCCAATTCTCCTTATGTAAATACTTCAACTTGTCCCTTTGGGCTGAAGGCTGACTTTAGCCATAGAGATTAAAGTATTTTCACTGTTTTGCTGAATTTGAAAGTGTGCTCGAATAGCCATGAAGCAGAGTAGATTTTAAAAGAAGCAGTTAAAAGTGGGAGCTTGGTTAGGTCAAACTTTGAGCCCGCTGACAGGCTTCCGCATAGTCTGTCTCTAAGATTTGTGCTCCTAAGGACTTGACTGCATCCAGCTGTTCAAAGGACAATAATAGGTGATGGAGTATTCTACCCATCAATCTCTTTTTAAAGAAATTTATTAGGAATTAGAAGATACAGATGGGAAATAATTGAAGGACTTCTGACTCAAAAAAACAAAAACAAAAATACTTAAAACAGTGAAAAGAAATATGAAAGCTCATAGTACAACAGTGCAATTTAACAAATGACATTTAACCATTTAACATCACGAACTCCAAAGTGAGCATATCAATTTTTGTTTGTTTATTTATTTTTGTAAAGCAACTGTATTGAAAGGGAGATTAAAAGAAGCTTTATGGTACTTTCCTCATCTAGTCCCGAGAGATTTTTCTATAGGTCATATCCCTGTGTGTGTCACGACTTTTATTTTATTGCGTATTGAAGAAAAAAATAGCATGATGAATACTATGTTCTCATAGTCCAGCTAATTGGTAACTAAATCAGTATCCTTCTGAAAGTAGAATATTCCAAAACTCATTAAAGCCTACCTACTACAGCTAATGTCAGGCTTGTAGCTCCTCACAATGACAAAGAGATGCGGTTAAGAAGCATTACCTACATACTCTTCTTTTAGCATTTGCAGAGAATAACAAGTGCTCCATTTTAGTTTAACAGCTATAATAAAATGCAAATTTTTTTACTCTTTCACAGTCTATATTCAAATGAACATCCCATTAAAATCCAACCTCAGCTCATTATATTTAGTTTGTGAGTGATGCTTCTTAAATGCAAAGATTTCTAATGACTATAATGTGCATACAGCCACATTTGAAAGAATGGCTCTTTCCACAATGGCTATTCCCATCATGCTTCTGTAATAGAAGACAATTGTACAGAGATGATAAGGTAAAGAATGACGTGCAGAGCAATTTGAAACTTACGTTAAAATACATAATGACATTTGAAATCAATTAAAATGGTGAAATGGCAGTGACATCCATGCACTACTGGTTTATATGAGAATCAATTGTGAAAGCTAAAGTCATTAGTGTACTTACATTTTGAACCCAGCAGATGTAATAGTCTATGTACTTCCATATTTATTCAACAATGAGACCCGTTTTCATCACAGAAGCTTAATTCTATGCCTTCTGCCTTGTCTTATTCTCTTTGTCCATCAGTTTTTCTTCTCTGCCTTCCTTTTCCGATACACTTAACCTAATCCAAATGAATATTGTTTGCAGTTAGTCCAACCGCAATGGATGCTGGATTTGTTTCCAAAGTACGTACACATAGAATTATTTGAGTTTTACACATATAAAACAAAGCTCTTGATTATATTTACAACTCTTTGTAAAGTCATTGGCCACTTCTCCATGAATAACAAAAGCATTTTAAGTGATCAATGAAATGACAAGATTTTTTAAGTATATCTCTATACCAAATGTTCTTTGAAAATTATTTTTGTATTTTTCTCTTTCTTTTCACATGGTAATATTTTCAAAGAACATTTGGTATAGAGATATACTTAAAAAATCTTTTAAATCAACATTTTGCATAATATTATGTGAATTAATATTAATGTATTAACGCTAATGAAAAATTTGGAGAGCCAACTGATACGCCTCAACTTATGAAAGTAAAACTGTCTGGTTGAAATCGAGCAATTATCCCCCAAGATGATTACTGTTGAAATCTCCCTTCTCTGTATACTAGATTTCTGATACTGGCACTTACACTTGTGTGGCTACAAGTTCAAGTGGGGAGACGTCCTGGAGTGCAGTGCTGGATGTGACAGGTGAGTTCTTTACGAATAATTTGAAGAGTAGAAATTTTGAACTCCCTCCAAGTGATCATTATCAAATAATAACTTAGGGAAGGATTGCAGTTTTAAATTCCTTGTTGATAAATCTAAGTCTTCACCTTTAATGGCACTTTTAATTTCTGCACTAACGTTTGCCACATAACATTGCATTCTTGCAATTTATTTCATTTGTTCTTGATAACTTTGCTATTTTACTTTCCCTGAAGTGCAAGCAATTCAAGTCATCATGTGTGAAAATAGTGTCCATTTGTTAATTTGGAAGGAGCAGATACTTGTTTATGTACTTCTGACTCAGCAAGATAAACTCAACTCCAAGGCTTCTTTACGAGACTATTTCCTTCTTTTAAACATCATTGACAGTTTATGCAGTCAAAATTAAAGTACTGCTCTATCTGTTTATTATAGAATCTGGACCAGCAATCAGTAAAAATTATGATTTAAATGACCTGCCAGGGCCACCATCCAAACCACAGGTTACAGACGTTACTAAGAACAGTGTCACCCTCTCCTGGCAACCAGGTCCCCCTGGAACTCTTCCAGCAAGTGCATATATCATCGAGGCTTTCAGGTATGGGACAATTCCTATTTTCTGACCTTGGTTTTTGCTTCAGTTCCTAGATAATAAAATCTCAACTGAGCTATCATGGTGTATTATATAAAAGACATATTCAATCAGTGCCTTTTAAGAATTTTTCTTTTATATTTGACATTAACAAGAGACTTGACTTTTCTATTTGTAGCTTAATTATAATATTAAATATGCATGATCTATTTTTAGCTCTACAGGAATGTAGTAAAGGACATAACCATTTAGCTCAATTCCTTAAACTGACAATTGTATGTGCTTAAAATGAGAATTTGACACTTAGAACTAAGCAGAAAATACTTATAATTCAGCTCAGGTATTTAAGAACTTATGCAATATTTATTGAGGCATAAGACTTTGGAATAGTTATGCTTAATAAATAGATCCAAACATAAAATAAATCCAGTGTTTTTATGTTATATACTTGAATGCATCTATTGGACATTATTTCTAGAAAATACAAGAACCACAATTAAGAAATTGATTCCATGTCCTTCTAATTGCTGAAACAAAACAAAATTCTAGGTATTATTTTAAATAATTGTCATTAACTTAAAGATATAGATAATAAATTAGGATATTTATCATTATAAATTTGTCCTATAGGAATTTAATAAAATACTTATATGTATGGCAAAATGAATTTTATGTACTTTCATATTCAGTTTCATGAATTTAATATTATAATTCAAAGGATAGCCACTGTCAAGTTAAGCTTCTCTAATTCATATTTAAGGTAATGTTAGATACATCATTTTCAAATTTCCAAATACTCTTTCTGCAATTTTGCCTTTAATTTTCAAATATATCTAAAATAATAGATGCAAACTTAAAAATAATATTTTATATATCTAAGAAAAAGTAGCATTTGACCTTAAACAAAATACTGGGTGTCATCTATCTGTAGCTAGCTGTGAGGCAGTTCACACACAGAGACTCAGAGATATTTCAACATTCTGAGGAATCACAATTTTGTGTAATGTAAAATTTTATTAAAAATGTAACTAAGGGAAAATATTCATTACATGCTTCCTTTCTTCTTTTACAGATATGTAGTTTTAGAAGGCTCTATTGTAATATTGCATGTGGAATTGATGCAAAAGAAAACACACCTTGTAACAGGAAAATGTATTGGCATAACTTACTCTGTAGTCCATTTATTCTTTCTACAGGTTAATTCTTTTCAAGGTATATATATATATATATATATATGCATTTGTGAGGACCATACTTATTGTATAACCTTGATGTTGTGATCTTGGCCTCTGTTCCTTTACAGGTATTCATTTAGTGGGCTGCTGTGCATTTAGCAAAGTGCTGTCACATCTTCTGGGCTGACTTTAATTCTGTTGTGCATGGCACTTCCGTTAGGTGGGCTCGGCTTTGTCGTTGAATAAACTGAAATCATCCAAATGTTTCATTTATTGGGCTGAACACTTCAAGTGTTGTGTGTGTGTGTGTTTAATTTTCAGCCATTAACCTTTGTCATTGATACCCAATTTCATTTCCAATAGCTTTATGACCGTTCTTTCAGTGAAACTTCTGTTCATATTTCAGTCAATCAGTGAGCAATAGCTGGCAGACAGTGGCAAACCATGTAAAGACCACCCTCTATACTGTGAGAGGATTGCGACCCAATACAATCTACCTGTTCATGGTCAGAACAATCAACCCTCAAGGGCTCAGTGACCCCAGCCCTATGTCAGATCCTGTGCGTACTCAAGGTAATTTCAATAGTTCGAACTTGACTGGTTCTATAATAGAGCAGCAGATAAACATTCTAGAACATCAACATAGCATTATTAGAAGAGCATTTATGTATGTTGCTTTTTTATTTAAAAAAATTAGTGTATATTTGCCATACAAGGTAAATCTATTCAATGTATGTCACATCTTAATCTACGTTCACTTACTGCATGGTGCTTTCTATGAAGATTCACTAGACTTCATCAAGTCAGGACAAGCAAATTTGTTGTTTACCTTCTTAAGGTGTGAGCTCTTTCTGGAATTTTCAGGGTGAATAGAGTTAAGAAATAAACCAAATAATTGATACATTTACATAGCAAAAGTTGGATCTGTTAATTTAGGGCTTTATGATATTTATAAGAGAGGGAAAATATTTATCCTTCTTGTATAAATTATACAATAGCAAAAAACAAAATAAAGAATTGTATGAATAGATGCTTACAAAGGAGAATAAAATAATTCCCATACTGCACGGAACTTCCTTTTTTCCAGTGCAGTGATTCTCAAAATGTGAATCCGAAGTGAATTCTCAGAATGGCGTTCCTTGGCTATGAGAAACATATTTTGAGACTCCAGTGCAGCGGATTTGGCCCAGGGTCACTTAACGTGCCCTTCAGGAGATGCTGGTGCTGAACTTTAACAACCTCCAGTACAATGTATTTTATTCATTCACATGGTGCAAGGCGTGATTTATTACCAAAAACAGTAAATCAAATTTTCTTCCTGAGGCTTTCGATTCTGTTGATTAACAAAAATCCCCTCAGAATATTAAAATGTAATTTCCAAATGGAAGATTTCCTCATTATATCTTCAGTAACCTGTGTGTTTCCAACTGTGAAGTCATTGAAGTCTGAGGTTTAGTGTAGAATGCTAGATTATATTTTCCTTTACTGATAGCATGTGAAAGGAATTAATACAATAGGAACGGCGCCTTTATTATTTGTTCTTACCTACTTCCTGCAGGGTTCTTGAGAAAGGGTTAATTATTTCTTATTTGTAAAGGGCTTTGAACAAGATATAATTCCAAGTAGCATTTTATGCTATGAAAAGCACCATACAGCCATAAAACATTATTATAATTACGATGTAGTTCCGTGATAGTAACTTCCAAGCCATTATAAAGAGAAGGGAGTCTTAAAGAAATCAAGTAAAATAAAGTCACCACGTGGCTGTAACATTGCTGACATGATGACAGTCGAGGGAGGAGGGAATGCCACTTTGCTATTGTTCTCTGTGCGGCAATGTGATTAATTTTCCATGATGATAAAGGGTCTGTAGGTAAAGACTGTCTCAGGAGAAAGAAAAAGCACAACAAAGAATTCGAAGGCCTGAAAGTAGTTGTATTTTACCTTACCTAGATCCAATTGCTTTCAGTGCATCTGAATTTAACGAGTAAATGAAATTATTGAATGTGATATGAAAATGTGTACAATTTTAAGTCAAGAAATCATATTGGCTAGCTGATTTCTACCTATGAGGATAGAAATAGTTTTGTGTGTTGCTGCAGGGTTAGGTGGGGAGACAGCAGAGGGGGAAGACTTCTGGTGTGATTAAGTCTGGCAGACCTCCCTGATCATTCAATAACCATGCCAGTCACTACATCTTGACTCATAAAATAACTCTTGGGGAAAAGGTCAAAAAAGATTAATGAAAAGTTGTTTGTGATCTGGCTTGTTCCAGTTGAAAGACTATACAGAGCAAAAGATTTATGTTCTCTTAACAGATATTTAATAGGAAAACTCACGTTTTGAGTCTGAATGTCAGGATCATTTTTGATATCACACTTTTAGCAGCTTTGCATCCTGCAAAAATACTTCCTTTCTAAGAATGCTTTTACTTTCTGAGCTCTTATTTTTCAAAGGCATTAAGTAGCACGGAATCTAGAAATTTGTTATTTCCTTAAGACTATCAAATATGTGCATAACATCAGCATCACAGAAAACTATACATAGATCAGAAAAAAATTAATATTCTAGGAAGTGACTTTTTTCCCAATTTAAGTAAGACTTTACATTGTTGTTTACATCAATTGAAATAAAGAGGCGAGCTGAGGTAAAACCTCACTAAAGTATGTTTCCTAAATATTAACGTCCAGTTTAACTTATTGTATCTGATTTATGTTATAGCTAAAGTATGCAATTAAAATACTTTGGAAAAAGTATTGTGTATTGTGTATATTGTGGCCTAAGAACACAGATGAAAGGAGATTTAAAAATCATTAAAATGGGTGGGAATATCTTAGTACAAAGACTTAAAACAGAGAAAAAAATTCTGTCACATATTACTGTTTGTCCATAGTGTATTATTTTGTAGCATTTTACAAGTATTCTACATTTTCTGGTTAAAAGTATTTTTGTTTGTTGGTTTGCTTTTGTTTTTGGGTTTTTTGTTTGTTTGTTTGTTTGTTTTGCACTAGTTCCTTTACCTTCCATGCTTCCAGGCTGAGATAGGTCAAACAGTAGGAAAACACAACCTGTTAATTTGGAATAAGGCATGCCACAATTCCTGAACTATAGTGTACAGATATGCCTGCATTTACTTCTTGAGAAAATCATTCAGTGCACCAATGTAAAAATAAAGCTGATCTTTCTAGAGAAATCTTCCAGTGTATATCATAAACTTTATTTTTTCTGAGTGATCATAGTAATGATTTTGTAATCAACAATGTGTCTGTATGTGCATGAGGATTATTCTTTTAATAATATAGCCTAATAAAAATAAATGTCCTATCGCAAAATCTCATCATTATAGGAGATATATAGATATAGATATAGGTATATATATATATATATATATATATATATATATATATATATCCTTTCATATATAAATACAAATATACGTGCTTAGTTTTTGAAACAGGAAAGTTTTATGTTTTTCTGAGTTTTGAGTTCTAAATGTATACTATTGGCTTATATAAAATAAATTCATGTTGTGTTGTCAGTTTTTAAAAACTGAGAGTGGTTACTCCTCTGATTGCAGATATCAGCCCACCAGCACAAGGGGTAGATCACAGACAAGTGCAGAAAGAACTCGGAGACGTCCTTGTCCGTCTGCATACTCCCGTTGTACTAACTCCCACCACCGTTCAGGTCACATGGACGGTAAGTTTTCAAGGCTTACATTAGGTGACAAAGGTTTTCTGTTTCCCGAACAAAAGTAAAACAAAGCAAAAGGAAAGCACAAGTAGACAAACTAACACTAGCAATTAAACCTCTCACTATTTAAAATCAAGATGTATTCAATGACAATAAAGGAAAGTATTCCATAGATAACAGAATGAAAAAACAGAGCAGCACATTGTGATAGAAACATGACCTTTCCATCTTATGAATTTCCTTAGTAGCTTTATTGCAGTGTAACTGACATACCCTAGTTAAAGAACACAAATGAATCTTTTTAATACACTTAAGCAATTTGAAGTCATACCAAACTGTAATTTCGAGCATTTCACCATGCCCAAAGGAAGCCTGTGTCCAGTAGCAGCCATTCTCTTCTCACTGCTTTACTCTGGTGCACCCAATAATTTACTCTGTATCTCTATGAATTTAGATTTGCAGGACTTAGTATAGAGCCATATAGTAATTCTTTGTATCGGAGTTCTTTCACTGCATAGTGCTTTTGAGGCTCACTCATGCTGTAGCGTGGGTCTGTGCTTTGTTACTGTAATGTACTGCACTGCAATGTAGCATTTCATTCCACTGTGCTCATTGCTGTAGTCTCAAATAGTACTCCATTCTATGGATATCTTGTATCTTTTTATTTCTTTTTCACTTGAAGGACATCAGGGTTGTTTCAACTTTGTTACTGCTGCATGAGAATTGGTTATGTGGATATGTACTTTCATTTCCATTTGTATACAACTAAAAATTGTCAAATCATATGGTAACTCCTACTCGATATTTTAATGAACTGCCAAATATTTTCAAGTGATTGCGTCATTTTTTTCTTCCAAACTGCAATGTTTTAACTTTCCAGTTTCTTCTAAATCATCTCAATTTACCATCTATCCTCAGCAAATAATTACTCTGTTTTTGTCTGTGGGAATTCTAATGTGCAGTGCTACAACATTGTGACTTTGATTTGCATCTCTTTAATAACTAATGATGTTTGTCTTTTCATATGCTTATCAAGCATTTTGTATCCTTTTTACAGAAACTGTTATTCAAATTCTTTGTCCATTTTCAAGTTAGGTTATTTATTTGTCATCTTATTATAGACTTGTGGGGATTCTTTATGTGCTGGATGTCATTTATCAGAGAAGTGATTTGCAAATAATACCAATTTATATGGTTTTTTATGACTTCACTGGAAATACAAAGATTTTAATTTTAAATTTGATGAAGTAATCCTCTAAATTTAAATGGATTGTCCTAACACTCTTCTCATACAACAGACTCAAAAGTTATACATTTTTAAAAATTTGATAAACATAGTCAAAAGTTAGTAGACATTAAGAAATGAATTAACATTTTCATATATTTTAGGGAAGTTCTGATATTATGTATTATTAAAAATGTCAGAATACAAATGGCAAGGTTGTGAATTTGATCCCAGGTACCAAAAAAAAAAAAAAAAAAAAAAAAAAAAAAGGAAGAAGATGATAGCTATTATTATAAAAACAATAAATAGCATGAAAGTAACAATATTACTTATGACATAAAATATTGATATGTACACATATATGCTTGTACTTTTAAAGAAACTAGATAATGTTTTTCTTTGGCTAATACAAGTAGCACCAGCTTTCCATTTATGACCCAGTTCTCTTTATTATAAATCTCTAAAATCTAAAAAGAAATATATTAGTATGCTAGAAATTTACAACTCCTTGAAGTTTCCCTGTGTGTAGAACAATACATATAAATAATGAATAAGAATATATACAAACAATGAATATTTGAATAGGCATAAGTGGAAAATTTTTCACTTTAATTATAATTTTTATTTGGAAAGTATCTATAATTATGTCTGCCTTGTTTATTTGGATAACTAATAAAAAGATTGTTTATAATGATTATTTGGGAATACAGTGTTTCCAATAACATTTTAATAAAATTTTGCATAGCTTTAGCCTATATTTTACATATAATAATTTCTATCATTTTGCTCCTTTAAAGTGAATATAATTCTTTTATCATTATTCCAGTGGCACAGTCAGAATTATATCTGCTATGCTTCTTCTTTTTCTCAGAATCTTTAACTAGATTTAAATAATAAAACAAAACAAAAATCAAACTGCCAAAACAAGAAAATAATTATGTTTTCTTAGCAGATTTTTCTTTCTCATTCTAAATTGAAAACATGTTCTTTGCTCTATTAAGAGATTTAAGGGTGCTTCTTTTAAATTGCTTCTAAGTAAGAGAAATATTTGGATACAAATCCAGGCCATTATGTTTATAATGTTAATCACTTTAAAATTTACTGAGTTTAAGAGAGTACATCAGTTTCCATCAAAATTTCATTTCAGTAAATTGAATCTTTTTTTCAGAAAATGGGGGAGAGTATGCCATGTTCTTTCCTGTGTCCCTAGATAACTTCTCACTACTAGTTTGCATGTTTATCTCCCACAGAGGCAGTGATTTCTATGAATCTAGAGACAGTGTTGGATTTTCCAGAGTCCAGTGCCAACTATCAAATATTCTTTAAGTAACTGTCTAAGGAAGTAATCGTATCCATTTTTCATATACCTTTATTCTTACTTCAAAACCATAAGGAATTCCTACTATCACAGGGTGTTTCTTATGAGTTCTTAGTTACATCAGATAAGATTATCTGAGAGAGTTCAGGTTTGATGTAATCAAGGCAGGTTGGGTGTGAGATCGGTTGCCAAAGAAATTGGTTTTTTTATTCATTTTCATATATTTTCAATTTGCTAAGTATATATGTTGCTTAAATTATCACATTATTAGTAGTTAGGTTGTACATCTGTTGGGGTTTGAGAGAAGCCACATATATCTACATTTGAGTTCATCTTAGGTGTTTAATTCCAGCCCATATATCTACATTTGAGTTCATCTTAGGTGTTTAATCAAAGATCTGCAGGATTCAAGCAGCAGAAACAAATGACATTTCTACTAGAAAAAACAGCTCCCTTCCCAGGCTAAAATTAAAGCAATAAAATTTCAGTGACTTCTTTCTAAAAAAATGAATAGTATTCTAAAGGATAGGTGAAAATGAGAAGAAAAAAAAAAAAAAAAAAAAAGAAAAAGCGCAAAGTCACTGGCTGAAAATGATCGCTTTTTTTTTTGTTTGTTTATGATCACTTGTTTATTTTTTTGTTTTGTTTTTTGTTAAAAAACAAAAAGAGTCACAAATTCTTAATGTCACTGGGATTGAAAAGAAATGCTTTTTAGATCACTCAGCAGCTAAACCCATCAAAGAAAGTTCATTCCGAATTTTTCGTTTAAGGGGGTTTCTTGACTTTGTGTTATTTTATAAGTTGAATAGATAGCTAGTGAGCATTTCAACTAAAAGTTTTGCTTAAACTTCTAATCCAAGGTCACATATAAGTCCCTTCCTCTTTTTGTATATTCCTTGTTTAACAAAGAAAAGCTTTATCATTGCATATTTCTACAGTTTGTACCGTGCTTTCACCTAAAGTAATCATTTGTTTCTGTGCCCTTGAGATGTAGGCATTATCTGACAAAATTCAGTGTACTGAGGCTCAGAAAGGTCAAGAGACCAAGCTGCAGTCTAAATGGAAGCCTTATGAGTGGAACTATGGAGTTCCCCTCATGACTACACTTTTTCCTTTAGAAAATTCTGTTCCACTCATGCATCAAAAAATGCTAATTTTTAAAAGTTGTATATGCATGAATTGATAGCTAGACTCTGATTGTAATTGTTACTAAAAAACCATCTTTCTTATAGTCAAATTATTAATGCTAGTAAAAAGCATATGGTTTAACCGGAAAGAAATCGCCTGTCAAAATGAGCTCTAAAAGTTAAGGGTAAAGAACATATATCCAAAACAATCTGCACATTTTGAAGGTAATGTTCAGCATTTTCATTTTTGCTTCCACTTGTGACAACAAATTTCCTCTCCCCCAAAATTCCAGAGTGTACACAAAATTAAATCAAACTATTTAGTTATTAAGCAGGCCATTACTATATACTAGTTGAAGGCGGTGCTCAGTGAAGCGAACAGGCAATGTTGTGCAGTAAACATTAGGTTCATAAAGTTCCTAAAACACTTAATTAATGAAAGCCAAACATGGATAAAACCAATTTACCCTGATTTACAGACTCCCTTCATCTGGAAACAGCTGCTTAATGTTCTTCTTAAAAACACAGCTTGCTTCCTTCAGTATTAACAAGCTATTATTGTGAGTTATGTCTTTCTTTCAGTATATAAATTCACTTAAAGAAAATGCGGAGAAGTTTATAAAATGTAAGCTTAATGCTGTTTTAACATGTGTTGCAAGAATTTTTTTGAACTTTGACAGTTTTGACGAAAGGCATCTCTCTTTGGCTCTCATAAATTTAACTTTTTACTGCCTGTTTGTCTTATTTTTTAATTTTAGAACAACTGTTTTTAAAAAGTTATGTGAATTGGTACCAGCATGCTAGTATGAATGAGAAATGAAAGCCCACAAGCTTCCACGTTAGACCCAAAAGTGTTTTTTTCTTAATATATCTTTGTACAAATCCTAATTCCTAAAAATCTGTGGTAAGAAAGCTGTTAGATGAGGAAGGAATTCCCATTGTTGCCACCCATTTAAAAGGCTGAAATTAACTACGTATAAAAACGCACACTCGTTTCTGTCACCTTCATAAAATTTTCTAGCTTGGGCATTCTACCTATAGAAAAATACTGTTTCATTCCACCCTATTGTGATTGAAGTTCTACACTTTAATAAAATAAAGCATATATTTTACTCTGATAGTCATTGATTTACTGCCTTCATTTAAAATATTAATAAAAGAATGCTATGACTAGAAAATAAATATTAGAAATGAAGGCATTAAATAATACTTTTTGTTGATAGCATTCTGGCAATTGAGTAAAGAAAGTTTTAAAAACTGAAATAAATAAGTATCTGTATCATCTCCTCTTCTATATCATCTTTCTCTACAACTTTCTTGAAATTTGGTAATTTTATTTTTCCCATTAATCTTTATATTTTATTTGAAAGTGAAATATGTCAAGTTTAAAACTTCTTGGGACATTGCTATTAAACTCTGACCTGGGGTGTTAATTTAAAAAAGTGCTAGGATACTTTATGTTTAAGCCAAGCATTTTTGGAGACAAGGAGAGGCATTTTAAAATGATAAAAAAAAAGGATTATATAGAAAATATATAAAGATAACATATTTCATTTTTTATCTTGATTTTATATATATTTAATTTCCATGCATTTAAAAGTTTGACTGAAACACTTGTAAAAAGATCTGTACATTGAGTTGGGAATCTTGGTGCATGCCTATAATCCCAGCACGTGGAAGGCTGGACTCTGAGGCAAGAGGATCACTCTGTTCACGGCCAGCCTGGCCTACAAAGTGAGCTGAAGACCAGTCCGAACTGTACAGTTAAACTCTGTCTCAAAAAGACAAAAAATGTAAATAAATCTAAGCAATATGAACTTCAATTCAAAGTCTTACACTGTTACTAAAATAAGCTGTCCTCACATAAATAAAGATGTATGAATTTGCCAGGTCAAGAGTAGAACTTGCTGGATGTGGTAGTACACACTTGTAATCCTAGCATTGGTGGCTGAGGCAAAATTGCCACAGTTTTGAGGCCAGTCTGGACTAGATAATGAGCTCAAACTCAAACTGAACTATATAGCAAAGCTCTGTCTCAAAAATAAAATAAAATAAACTCATGAAGGAGTAAAAATCTTAAAAACAAACCTGTTTTTAATGACTATTTTATGATGAATATAAACTTCCCCATGCATTTTACAAAGATATTCTAGCTTACAATGTTTTTCTCTCTCTTATGCTTCCTCTTGCATTCTGTCCCCTGCTTCTTCCTAGGTGAATCAAGCTCTTTCTATGGATGGCAGAATTCATGTGGTCTTTAAGGAAACCATCTCCCATCCTGACTCAGTCAGCTTTTCTCCGTCATAAGTTTCATACTTTCTAGTGCATCTCATTCTTAAACTTGGCTTTTGCCTATTTTTTAAGATTGCAATTTGACCATGGTTGGAGTAATGATGAGGTGACACCAACTTTTCCCTTGGATACCAGTATCATGAGGAAAATCACGGCCTCTATTACTACCATCTGTTTCCTCTTCAGAGTTAGCACAAGTCCAGACTCCTAATAGAAAAAAAAAAAAAAAAAAAGAGAAATTAAGCTAAAAATAACTAATAGGTCTGGGCATTGACAGGAAGTTGTGCTAATGCAAGGGGTCTGATTCATTATGTAGATGTCCTAGATACTTAAAACAATGGACAGAGCTGTTCCATTCTTTGTTTTAGAAGTCGTTTTAGGAGCAATGTGAGTTCTGAACAGCAGAGATTATTAAAAGCAGGAGGATGAATAAAGAAACGTGCTGTCCACTCCCACAAGGGTCCCAGGGCTGAGATGGACCCGGGAAGGGAGGATGGGCCCGCTGCCCTGTCTGACACACTGCCGCAGTTCAGATGTCCTTCCTCTGATTCAGGTGGATCGCCAGCCCCAGTTTATTCAAGGCTACCGAGTCATGTATCGTCAGACTTCAGGACTGCAAGCTACATCATCGTGGCAGAATTTGGACGCCAAAGTTCCCACGGAGCGAAGTGCGGTTTTAGCCAATCTGAAAAAGGGGGTGACTTATGAGATTAAAGTTCGACCTTATTTTAATGAGTTCCAAGGAATGGATAGTGAATCTAAAACGGTCCGTACTACTGAAGAAGGTCAGTATCCAAAATTCGAATGTGAACCAAATTTATACCATGGTTAAAAGAGTTTCTGTTATATTTCTAGTTGCCAGCTTTCTTGTAAGACTAGAAAGAGATCATCTAAAGGTGAACTCAAGATCTGTCATTTTCTCCTTATACTCTGTTTTATAGAATCTGATCCACCCCGCCAATGACTAAAAGAGGTAAAGAAAATGACCCTGAACTTGAATATTTAAACATTCAAGCCAAATCTTGCATTCACTAATTTATATTTGATTATAATATATTTCAAGGTTTTTTGTTGTTTGTGTTTGGGATTTTTTTTTTTTTTTTTTTTTTTTTTTTTTTTTTTTTTTTTTGGTACATGTAGCTCACTTGATTTCAGTGAAAGATAGGCTATTAAAAAACCAAAGAATGTAAGTTATTCACAGTGTTAATTTTTTTTTTTCCTGTTATAGTAAAGTGTGATGTTTTCTTTCACCATAGTCATTGCCTGTCTGGCCCATAATTTCTAATTTGGAAAGCCACTTGCATATTTCCCATAGCTTTCTGTTGTTAGAATTCCTTCACTCTCCTTTATGTTTGGAATATTTTAAAATCAGTCTCAGATATACTAAGATTAGTATTTGTTTCAAACAGTCCGTTCTCTAGTGTCTTCTCTAAAGGAGAGCCTTGTGATGTTGTCACCAAAGTGTAAAAAAGAGGTGATACCAGGCAGGGTGGTACACATCTGTAATCCTACCACTCTGAGAAGCTGAAGCAGAAGGATCAGAAATTAGTGAGATCCTGTCTCAAAATAAAAAATTAAAAAGGGATGCATGTGTGGCTCATTGTGGCAGTCTTGTGTTCAATTCCCAGTAATACAAAATGTGACATAGCAAATAATACCACCCACGTTTTTCTTTGTACTAACTTATTCTGTATACTTTGTGTACAAAACCTTTCCCCAAATGTATTCTACCTGTAGGCCAAAGGGGGACAGGAAAACATACTTTGTACAATTTTTGTTTTTTAAGATCAGGGTTAAGAAAATGTATTTTGCGTACAGAAAGTAACCCATATTCATATTTAACCAAGAGTTTTTAATTACGTATTTCTCTAAATAAGATACACAGCAAAAATATTGCCTTCACATAGCTTTATAGGACACTGTACTGGCAGAGGGGCAGTGAATATTTTTGAAGGTGTCAGTAGGTTACATTAAGATATATAAAAGAAAAGAAAGCATTACTAATGTAAAGTATTACTAATGTAAATTAGTAAAAAGTATTACTAATATTTTTAATCCACCATTAAAATTTGTCTTTTGTTGCGGAGTGGTAGTGTTAGTTATTGGGAAGCATCACTTTAATGCAGAGGGTTATGTATGAAGCTTTTTTGCAAAAATCAACTACACCACAGTCGGACTTTTCTTCTAGATTAGACTGTTGTCACCATTCTGTGTACATTCATCTCTGATTCTGTGGCCTTGCAAAGGTAACAAATGGAACTCAGCTGGGCTATGCCCGGGAACGATGAGCGGTGATTTGGGTCCTTTCACTGGGTAGGAGGAAGCTGAGTACTGGAATAATTGACCTGTCAGAAAGCAGGCACAGTGTTCTCGCCAAGCCCGCAGCGAGGAGAATGAAAAGCCAGGTTCACAGCGTTGTTTTTTAGTGCCATCCGCTTTATAACAGCAAGACTGGTAGACAAGTAGTCAGATTTATGTCATCATGCTGTATTTTGGAGCAATGTGGCCACATAAAAAACAATAAAGAATAAATTATATAAGCCTATATCTGGGTAGGTTTTGTATTGCAATGCAAACATGATCATATCTCAATGAAATCTGTCATGACGATTTAGCAAACATGGGAGACCTTATTGATAGGGCATTAAAGTATCCTTCGGGTATTTTCAAGAGACTAAACTATGTAGAGTTATGAAAGCATTAATGGTTTCACATAAAATTATTTAATGACACAAAATTCTTAGATAGCTTTAATTAAAAGGAGGAGTTTATATAGTACTTTGATTTTGCTTTCTGTGATCTAAATTTGGAGACTGATTGAAAATGGATGAATTTATTTTTTTAGCAAAATTGGTATTTCTTAGCTGTCATAGAAACCAGATACAAGATGTTGTAGTCTAAAATCAGGAATCACTTCTTACTCATCTTGTCTCAGTATGGTTTGTAATTAGTTTATAGGAACAATTATAAAAAAAGGAAATTACTATCAGAGATCAAAATTTGCCCATTTTCACATTTGACCCAACATGAACATGCTTTTATTTTTAGCATTCTAACTCCTTGCCCACCCATATAAAATGTTTTAAATTTTAAATTATGAGTCAGTTTATAACACTCAATTATTTTTCTCTATGTGAAAAGGATTTTTTTCTTTGTTGACCAAATTTATAGATGTTTCTGTTTTTATTAAGTGAATACAAATGAAAACAAATAAACAAAAAAAAGATTGTCAATCATGTCACCATTCAGAAATAGCACCTGGGAAAATAGCCTCTCAAAATATGTTTGTTGCCATTATTATTGCTTTGTATTTTAGAAAGTAGGCTATTAGTGCTTAAATAATCAAAGTTTAAGACTCAGACTACCTGGGTTCATGGTCTGAGTTGGTGTTTGACTTAAATAGGCTGTTTGCTACAGCCTGTTTCTTCCTCTGTAAAGCTGAGCTAGGAGTTGCTTTTATCTCCTGAAGATATTATGAGAATTAAAACTTACATTTAGCTCTTTGCTGGCCCTATAAAAACACTCATTAGTATTAGCTGTTAAATTTATTATTCAATGTGTATTACTACACCAGTTACATTCACTTTTCAATGCACATTGAGTTTAAAGGCCATATTTCAAAACACTGTGGCAGTTGAACACCATATGCAGAATACAGGACTCCTAGAAGCCAGAACCTCGTAGGTCTTATCTGTCTATTCATATTCTGAGAGTAGCATAATGCAAAAGGAAACCTACAATTTACGTTTATTCCATTATTTTCTCTGCAGCCCCAAGTGCCCCTCCACAATCTGTCACTGTGCTGACAGTTGGAAGCCACAATAGCACAAGTATTAGTGTTTCCTGGGATCCTCCTCCACCAGACCACCAAAATGGAATTATCCAGGAATACAAGGTAGGCCCTGCTGCAGAAGAAGGAGGTCTCACAGGCAAAGTTGCCAGAGAAATCTCAGCATGATACAACCAAAGCTGGTCTCTGAATAAGACTTGTACCTTTATTCAGTTTGAAAGTAAAGCGACTCTAGCTGTGTGTGACAGGCACAGACTCAAAATTAGACTCAAAATTAAGCCATAACACTGAATTTGTTTTTAATTTGTCTGTAGATCGTGTTTCTAAAAAAACCTTAAGGATTTAGAGAGGTGGGGAACGAGGCAGGTAGGTTGTGAAACTCTCACTGAGAAACTGACTTTAATTATTAAAATTCCTTCTGAGAGACTTCATAGCAGTTTTATACTGGGTTCACACAAAAATAAATTTAAAAGTACTTTGGAATTTAGAGAGATAGAAGTGTTGCAGAGATAGAAGATAACACTGGTAACTGCCAATCTTTATTCTGCTTTTATGTATTTATTGAAGTTTTATAAAAATATTTCCCTTGAAGAAAAAAGGTAAACATTGAAACAACAATATTTGAAAAAAAATCTTAACAAAAAAATAATCATCTAATTTTCAACTGGTGAATTTGTTGTTTTTTAAAAAGTGTTACATCACCATCATTGATATTTATGACATGGAATATATATATGTATGTATAGAGAGTGATTAGAATAATCTCTTCAGTTTCAGTGTAAGCCTTGAAAAATTTTGAAACTATAATTTTCGCTTTTAGGAAATATTTGTAGAACTTTGAAAATAACTTACTAGATCTAATACAACAGAGAAGTAGATGTCCCATCTTGTCTTAGAAATCCAGAGGTAGTATGTGGAATTAAATTGAATAATTTCACTCAGATTTGCATGTTGAACTGTATTTCTACAAAACATACATTCTAAATAGATTTTATTAAATTACATATGAAATTTCTGAAGCAAATGGTCTCAGTGTGTAAATGTTTATTTTGAAATTATTCTATCACATTATAAACACACATTGTATATTAGCCAGTTTTCCTGATGCTAGACAAAATACCTGACTCTGGTAATTTAAAGAAGAATTTTATTTTGGCTTACAATTTAAACGAATTTGTCACTGTTCCCCATGAAGGAACCATCATGATGAAGGGCATGGTGGAACAATCCTGTTTAATTCATGTTAGCTGGAAATCAGAGCTGGGAATCCACATCAGAGAGAAAGGCACCTGAAAGCATAGATAGCATCCCAAGTGATGCCTGGCTAACCCACCCATTCTCAGACGTGTACTTCATTAATCACCTAGGTGGAATCCAAACCAATCAAATCAATGATTAAGCTTAACTGTCACACATGGTTAACAAGTACAAAAATAAATACCTTCATGATAACACAGTTACATAGACTGTAAAGTTTTACAAGTGTTAGGACATTGTTTGAACACCAAAACATTTAACTAATATCTGATACGTGTGTGTGTGTGTGTGTGTGTGTGTGTGTGTGTGTGTGTGTGTGTTTTAAGGAAGTTAGAAATCTACTTTTTTACTACCCAGGTCTAAATATCCTATAGTTCTCTTTTGGTATATGTAAATTTGATTACAAAATCTCTCACTCATTATAGGCCTGTTATATTTTAGTACTAAAGTGTATGCTTGGGTGAGGGTTAAACATTTCCCCATTAAAAACAAAGATAGCATCTCTATATAACAAAAATATGATTCATGGAAATAATTTTGCTGAAAGAATTTCAGGAGCTTATCTGTCTTGAAGCAAAACTATATATGTTCTTACATGTGTCTCTCTGCAGATTATAAAATATTATATAATATGAATACAAATATACATAGCAGAATACTTTTATAATGAAGAAACAGATTTCCATAGCCCTGAATTCGATTTGTACTTGGAATGAGAGCCTCTCTGCTTTAACATCATGTTTAAAGACTTTTATTCACTGTGTTCTGCCTTGAACCTGTTTATATGTGTGTACATTTTGATTAATATTAAGGCATATTTGTGTAAATAAAATGATTGGCTTTAATTTTAATTTAGCCAATATGTATAATTTAGTCAATTAATCTTAACTACTTAAAAATTAACATTTTTAAATACACTGTATATTACTCAGATATGCACGTTTATACTTAGATATTATAATTCATGATTACTATACTTATAGTAGATTAAATGCACAACAAATTTTGATAAATAAAGCTGAGAAAATTATGTGTTTTAGTCCATATCACGAAGCTATTTGCAAACAAAAGCAATTTTCTACAGGGGCTTGTACCTTTAAAGTTACTCATTATGAGTGTTTAGTACTGATGGATATGAATGACATGACATAGTTTTACATTCCCTTACTGTTCTTTATTTCACACCTACACATGTGGAACTGCACACACACACAGAGTGGGCTTTGGTTTGGGCTTTAAAAAACGTCATTTACTTCATTAAGCCTGGAAAATAGAACAGTAGGAAAATATTTAATCAGTTATAGCCTAATTCCCAGAAAAGACGTTTCATGTTTTTTGTTGTTGTTGTTGTTTATTTGTTTTCATTTTCCATTTCTGTAGATCTGGTGTCTAGGAAATGAAACTCGATTCCATATCAATAAGACTGTGGATGCAGCCATTCGATCTGTAATAATTGGTGGATTATTCCCAGGTATTCAATACCGGGTAGAGGTTGCAGCTAGTACCAGTGCAGGGGTTGGAGTAAAAAGTGACCCGCAGCCAATAATAATTGGTGAGTATCAGTCTATATGGTTTGTGCATTAGTATCAGTCAGTTGACACCAAAAAGGTGATGTACGCCTGTAATCTTAGCACTTGAGAGGCTGAGGCAGGAGGATCGCAGTTTGAGGCCATCCTGGGCTACAAAGTGACCTTAAGTGCAGCCAGAACTGCATCACCAGATGTTGTCTCAAAAAGAAAAAAAAAAAAAAAGACACCAAGATTAATTCTTTTGTAATTTACATCCTAACTGTGGATATATAGTTATGAATGACAGTGCAGCAAACATCATAAATGCAAATGAGTTAAATGACGAGGACTTTTATAAAACTGATGGGTATAATTGCTCCTGTTCTTAAGAGCCTTCAAATCTTACAACTGCAATAACTGAGTTTAAATGCTGAAAGGTGGTTTAAAAATTATTTTCAATCTATACTTCTATTAGTAATTTTGGTGTCATTGAAATATAGAAAATGACAGTTACTGGGAGAGTGCATTACATCTAAATCTATATGCTCCCACTTACTCAGAAAAATGTCAAAAATTAATTAGCAACAAGCCAAAAGAAGTTTTGCAATCTAATGCACTATCCCATAGAAAATATTTACATGAAATCTGCTACCATCATTGCACAAAATTGTGTCCTATTACCTTAGATTATGTTTGTCTGTTCTTCAAATGTATATAAATGAGATTATACTGAATATTATATTTTATGCCTGATTTCTTTCACTAAGTTTAAGTTTTCTAAGGTTCACCCTTGAGTATATTATGCAGTTCATATATTTTGTTGCTGAGTGGTATTCCATTGCATGAATATGCCGTATTTGGTTTATCAGCTATGCTCTCTAAAGTGAACATTCTTGTGTAAGCATTTTGGAAGACACATGTTTTCATTTCTTTGAGGGAAATACATAGGAGTAGAATTTCTGGCTAATAGGATGGTATTTTTTGACTTTGTAAGAAACTGCTGAACAATTTTCAAATTGTTACAGAATTTTATACTCCCAACAGAATGGAGAAGGAATTCCAGCTTCTCTACATTATCAAAAGCTTTTGATGTAGCCAGGCTTTGTAATTTTAGCCATTCTAGTAGATATGAAAAATAATTCCTTGTGAATTTAAGTTAATGATGTTGCACAAATACACATGTGTTTATTGGCCACACACATATTTTCTGTTGTAAACTGCTCACATATTTGCCTTTTAACCATTGACTTTCTTATACACTTTGGATACAAATTCCTTGATATATATTTTTTCTAGTATGTAACTTGTTATTTTTATTGGTTTTTGATGAAGAGTACAATTTATTAATCTTTTCTTTCATTCATATTGCTTTATTGCCTTGCTAGTAGGTCGTGAGAACATGTTCTTATAGTTTCCTCTAGAAGCTTTATAATTTTAGCTTTTATAATTAAGTCTATAATCAATTTTAAATCAATTTTATGTGGCTCAAAGATTAAGGCTTGTGGGCTACCATATGTATATTGAGTTATAGAGGCACCGTTTATTGAAAACACTTTTTCTTTTAGTTAACCATCTATATGTGGTCCATTTCTGGATCCACGTTTAGATTTGTTTATAAGCCAAACCACATGATCTTGATTACTCTAGCTTATGGTAACTCTTGAAATCATGTACTACAAACGCTCCACCATTTTCTTCTGCAAAGTTGTTGTGACTAGAACAGGCCTTCTGCCTTTTCATATGCACTACTTTTAAAATCAGTCAGTCAATTTCTATAAAAATCTGATGACATTGTGCTTGAAAATGCAGTGATTCTGCCTACCAAATTAGGTAAACCTATTAATTATGAGTCTTTATATCCAGCAGCATGATATACTTTTTCATTATAGAAGTCTTCTTTGATATTTTACAACAGTAATTTGTAATTTTCAGTGTGTGATACTATGTGTCATTAAATACTTCCCAAATATTTGATGTTTTTTATGCTATGATGTATGAACTTTGCAGTTTCTCTTTCAAACTGTTATATATATTCAGCATTTTATGCTGCCTTTATATCTTGTGCATTTACTAACTTCTTTTATTCATTTCTCATTTGTGAATTCTTTTTCTGAATAAATTTAAATGATTTTGTTTTCTTTTTTTAAAATTGACACAATGAATTATATTGAATGGTTTTCAAAGGTAAATAAACTTTGCATTCCTGGAATAAATGTCACTTGGACCTGACATACTTTTTACACGTATTGCTTTATCTGATTTACTAACATTTGGTAAAGAACTTTGCATTTATGTTTTTGAAGAGTCATGAAGGACTTTGGTTGATAGTGATTTTTGTTTGTCGATTTTTTTGTTGTTGTTTTTACTTTTAATGTCTTTGTCAGGTTTTGGGTTGAGAGTGGCTGGATTTATAAACTTGTGGATTCCTCCTCTATATTCTTAAAGAAAGTTTTTAGGATTACCTTAAATATTTTCTAGAAATTAGGACTGATATCCACGTCTAGAGCTATGTGTTTATTTTAAATGAATATAGATCTACTTAGAATTTTTAAATTTCTTCTTGTATTGATTTTGGTAAGTGGATTTTTTTAATTTTTTGTACAATGACAAATTTGTCTAGTTGACCTACATTATTGAACTTATTAGTATGTGGCTGTTTATAATGTTTCCTTATGATCACAGTAGAGTCTGTAGAGTGTATAGCAGTGTCATCTCTTTTATTTTTAGTGCTGTGGGTTTGTGTACTTTCTCCCCCCTTTTTTTCTGGCTCTCCTCTTTACTGTTGTCCTCCTTTTTCTTTCTCCCTGTCTTACTCCTACTTTTATTCTGTCTTGATAATGACATTCATTTTTAAAAATCTTTTTAATGTATGAAATTACATCTTTGTTGTTTTTATATCGCTAGCTAATTGATTTCTACTATTTCTTCCATTTTTATTTTGCCACTTAATATCACATTTACATCAGTGATTTGGGACCTTCATTTCTGACATGACTATTTTAAAGTTGTCAATTGGTCGTAAAGAACTTTTTCAGCTGAATCCCACAAATTATTGTAAGTTTTGTTTATACTTAGTATGCAACACTTTCTTTAAAAGTTTTGGTCATTATTGTTTTCATTTTTTGCAGATTTTTAGAAATATTTATAGAAGTTATTTAGAAGTATATTGTTTAATATATACATGCTTGGATATTTTCCAGGTGTATACTTTTGAATTGATTTAAAACGTAATACCAGTGATATCAGAAAATGTACATTGTGTGAATTTCATCACCTAAATATAGAGCTACTTTATGGTTCAATGTTTGGTCTTAGTGATTTTTTGTGCACTTGTAAATTATATATATTCTTTTGTTTCATAAATGACAAGTAAAATGAATTGGAAATGTTATTCAGCTTCCTATCAATTTTGTTTTTCTTTTGGAGGACTAAAAATAGGTCTGCAGATTTATTACAATTATGGATTTGTGTGTTTCTCTTTCTCACACCTAACATTTGCTATACTTGTTTTGCTGCCTTGCTTTCAATGAACACAGTTAAGAATATTGCATGTTCTTAATGAATGTACACTTCATCATGAGAGTTCCACTTCAATTTACTATAAAATTCCTGTCCTGAAGTTGACTACAATATTAACTTAGCCTTACCATCTTATAAATATTTACATCATATCTATTTATTCCAACTTTTGTGTTAAACTCTGTTTATCTGCATATAATTGTATTTTTATTATTTAAATTGTATATTATCTCATCTTGGTTGTTCTATAATTTGACAATATCTGCCTTCTAATTTCAGTATTCGGATTGCTATCATCAATGCTACTGCTGGTTTCTTTGAATTTAGAATTGCCATTTTCCTATTTGCTTTTTCACTTTAATTCTATTTATAATGGCTTCCTTTTGGGGAAAGCATGCACTTTGGGTTTTATATTTTGGGTTTTATATTTTAACCTCTCTGATGAGTCACTAGGTATATCTCCTTTTTTCATAATGGTTACTCTTGAATTTGCATGTAGAGATGTTGGAGCAATATAATTCCACGTATTTCCTCCATTCCTTTTTTGATAGTTATACCTTTTATTTCTACATATGTAGTAAATGCCAGTGTATAGTTTGCTCTGAAGAGTCAATTATCTTTCAAGTAAACTTAAAATAAGTAAAATATCATGTTGCATTTATTTGATATTAAACTTTTCACCCATTCTAAGTGCTTCATTCTTTTAACTCATATTTGTTCTTCGTCATATTTGAGTTGGCCTTCACTGCATTCCATTTTTATCATTTTCTCCAAATACATATTTAGAAGATAGCAAAATTCCCCATATTTGAGTCTTTTCTCTCAAGAATTCACAGTTTTTGTCTTTATATCCCTTACATATTTTATCTACTATTTTAATTCTTTGTGATGAGAATACGGTACGTCTTATACATATTATTTATTTGTGGCTAGAAATAGAGCTGTCAAAGGGATTTTAATTACTTAATATATTTTTCTACAATTTTCACTTGATTTCTTTTATGTTTTCATTTCCCTCACTCATTACAACTATATAAAATGTATAATCATACTGTGATAATGCTTTACAATCATTTTCTTCTATTTTAACACTTATGTTTTCTTATGGTCTCTTTCTACTGATCATTTTTTCTGTTGACCTTGGATCATATTTTCTAGTTTACTGTCTGTTTATGCTTGCTTGTCTAGAATGTTTTATTGTGTACTGGACTTTGCTGATGACATGCTATAAAACTGTATTCAACTCAATGATGTTGGTTTCACTAACAGGCAATTGCATTACTGGATGATTACCTTGAATTTATCATGTCTTGGCTTTTACATTATGTCTATATTTTGCCCTTATTCTAAGGGAAAGACTTAATTTTGACATGAACTTCATAGGTGCATTTCTCCTGAACTTTAAATAAAAAGTCTAATATGTTTATCTGGCTTCCCTTACTGGACAAAATATAAGCTTCAACCAATGGTTTCTCTGCTGTAGAAGTCAGCTAAAACCTGTTTAATCAGAGAGCATTCTAATTTT